ACTTCAGGGAGAGGAAGCCATCTGGCTGGGGATGGCGTCTGTTCTACTTCTGGAACCATGAGAATGTTTTAATTTAATTTAAATTTATTTTATTTGTGTGTGTGTGTGTGTGTGTGTGTGTGTGTGTGTGTGTGTGTGTCCAGCTCAGCCCACCAGGGTGCGGGGCTGGCTGGCATGTGGTGCTGGGGGATTGAACCGCAGTCCCTGTGGTTTGCTTGTTCTAAGTAGGTGCTTTAGACCACTGAGCCATCTCACCAGCCCCTGAGGCCTATTTTTAAATGTGTTTCTTTTTTTTTTTGGTGGAACCAGGGATTGAACTCAGGTCCTTGCGCTTGCCAGGGAAGTGCTTATTCCACTGAGCCATCTCCCCGGCCCCATAAATGTGAGTTTCTATATGAACAATTTTTCATAAATTTATAGTTTAATTGAACAAAAAGACCTATTTTTGCCAGGTCTTCTGAGTTTGAAAAGAAACTAGCAATCCAATCTTTTTTAATTTAGCCACTGATCTAAATTATTTTTATTTTTTTTTATTTATTTTTTTTTTCATGCAAATCACAAAGGGCAAGCTTTATTGTCTATGTGCACGCAGGGCTAAATTATTTTTAAAACAGTGGGAAAGCCAAATTCAGTGTGTGTGAGCCTGTGGCCTAAAATGCTAGTACAGCGATACCCCAGTTGCTCAATGGCTCCAAGCTTGAGCTTTCCATTACTTGAACAGTAAAGTTAAAAAAAATCTTCCCAGTGTTTCCAACTTTACTTGATAGTTGAACCAGAAATTCAATTTGAAAAGACCTGTAAAGGCCATGAAGCAGCCACGAGTTGTGTCTTGCTACAGACACAAAGGGGGACACTTCCATCTAAGTGCTGCTCTTGCCCAAAATGCAGATAGTGCTTATGCCAGAGAGTTGTTATGCTTTTTTTTTTTTTTTCCAGAACCAGGGATTGAACTCAGGCCCTTGTGCTTGCCAGATGTTATGCTTTTTTGTCATTGTGCTTTTTTTTTTTTTTGGACACTGTGTAAAATGTTGTAACTGTGACTCTGAGGAAAGGTAGTGACCTCAGAAGTAAAGATGAAAGGAAAACTTTCTTCAGTGATAGAGTTAAAGAAATTGACTGGCCTGATAGTTCAGTGGACTAAAGTGCCTGCCTAGACAGAGCACATGGTTGGGGTTCGATCCCAGCGTGCCATGCCAGTCCCTTCCCCAGAGCACAGAGACAGCAACTGAGACTGGGTATGGTGGTACACACCTGTAATCCCAGCACTTGGTGGGCTGAAAACAGGAACACTACAAGTCTGATCTGTGAAATGAGACCCTGTAGACCCTGTATTAAATACAAAAAAAAAAAAAAAAAGGAAAGAAAAAAGAGAAGAAAGAAAGAAAAAGAAATGACTGCAAAATTTGTTAGAAGTCCCAAAGAATAAATTTATAAATGTAATTTTTGGGCCTTGGCACCAATTATTTGGTTAGTGTTGAAACACAAGTTTGGAATGACTTGAGTTCAACAACAAGGTCTGTAGTCTGGGGGCTGAGGCAGGAGGAGGACTGGAAGTTTGAGGCTGGCCTGAACTGCAAAACAAGATCCTGCCTTAAAAAACAAAACAAGGGGGCTGGGGAGATAGCTTAGTAGAATAAGCGCTTGCCTGGCAAGTGCAAAGGCCTGAGTTCAATCCCTGGTTCCACCAAAAAAAAAAGTGAGGGAAGAAAAAAAGACTCCCATATTAAATAAATAAATAGAAAAACAGGGGCTGGTGAGATGGCTCAGTGGTCTAAAGCACCTACTTGGAACAAGCTTGGCGAAGCACAGGGACCGCGGTTCCATCCCCCAGCACCACATGCCAGCCACCCCGCCCCCTGGCCACACATGGATAGA